AAACAAAATATCAGATTTTTTTTTTTAAGATCTTCGTAATGTTAGATGTAACAATTTATTTTTTTATTTTTAATTTTAATAAAAAATTGTTAAATCAAATAAATTGCATCACAATAACTTATATGCTATTTAATTTGAAATCCAAACCGAACAATTTATTAGGTTAGGAGTTTTAAAATTTTATCTTCGGAACTAAGTTTAATGACGACATTAAAAAATTATTTACGAATAAGATATTATTTTTTTTCCATTCAATTTATTTATTCAATCCAACATAAAGTGTAGCCGAAAGTAACCTAGTTGGTATCATATTTACGAGGTTTTTTTTACTTCCCTTATTAGTCGCATCAAAGGGATAAGCGTTCGTCCACTTGTTCTCGCCAGCCGGCAGCCATGATAGAGTTGCTTCATATTCCGATTGGACAGGGAAACAAAGCCAAAATAAAAGCACGTAATTATTCACAATTATTCCGGGAAGGATTAATTGTTGAATGGGCCCTGGTGAAAAACTATCTGGGCCCTCCCAAGTGAAAAGCACAGTATATTCGTCTGGGCCTTCTCAACTTTGGAGATCAATCAATTTTGAATAATTTTTTTATTATATCATTGTACAACACAAGGTATTTTTGAAAAAGAATACACTTACGTGAATTAGGATATAACTAATATAACTAACTAAATAATTAATTAATTATGTGATTTTGTATCTATGTTACTCATTAGTTAAGGATTCTTCGTTACCTAAAATTAAACTCTGACAAATAAAAAGAAAAATTAATTAATTATCTAGTTTTTTTATTATTATTTTATGTTTTTCAAATTTTCGATGGAACAAAAAATATTGAAAATGTAAAAATCATTTTGAACACATGGCATCATTGTATTGGAAATAATTAATTTATTGGCAATAAAAATCTATGAAAGTGCTTAGATTTATTAAATTTTATGAGTATAATTTTGAAATAAAAAAATCATAAAGTAAAAAAACATATACTAAATAATATTAACTTGGATCCACAGAGAGAGTTAACCAATATATAATAAAAAATAATAAAGATAATTAATCGAGTCAAATATATAAGTACAATTACTTATATACATAAAGAATTGCACAATACTTCAAATGTCATTATCCTTTTGTAAATAGAAATAGTAAAAGTTGAATGAAAGCTATTTTTCCTCAAGTGGGAAGGATGGGAATTAGGGAGGCGAGGGAAGTGTTATTACGTATAAAATTATGATTAATCATGTTGAGCACGAACATAGAAGAATAAATCACAAACACCTGCTCGTGTGTGTGTGTGTTTTTGTATAAAGAAAAAAACTGCAAACATATATATATATATATATATATATATATATATATATATAGAAACTAGCAAGAAAAGGAGTCAATATTCAAAATTGAGAGAGTCAGGGGTGTCTTTGCAAACTTATTTTTTAAAAAGAAAAAACTAAAGAAACAACAAATTAAAAATACTTTAAAAAATATGGAAAAGCATTGTGGATTTATTGTGCCCATGTTTTTCATTTCTTCATCCCATTTTTTTTTTTTTTTTTAGTTTTGCATCTTGAGTGTCTAATTCAAGGCTAACTTAGCTAAAATTATTAACCAAGTGAAAAGAATAAGAGATAAAGGATGAAAGTGAAAATTTGATGAAATCTTCAATTTAGTACTTGTATTTTTTTTAATTATAAAAATTAAGCACTTCTAATTTCTGAAAATTCTGAAATCAATTTTCGCTCATTTTTTTTTAATTCTTAATTTGAGAGAGACGAGAGAATGTTGTTAGATTCCAACATTAGAAAGAAAAAATTATTGTTGATACTGATTTTAGCCACCAAAACAATTAATTTTAATGTTAACGAGTTTTATTTGAAGACAAAATTTCTACTAAGATGTTTTTTCACCTTCAAATTACCAAAAAATCAAATATGAGCTCAAAAATATTTTTTATTTGGGTTAATTTTGGGTTTTTTTTTAATTATTTTAGACCATGAATAAGTGTTTTATATCTTTTTTTTAGATGTTTTGAATTAAAAAATAAATTTTTAAAGAAAAACAAAACTATGATAGTCGAAATCTAGAGAGGAATAGATTATGCATTACTTATTTATTTTTTTAATAAAAAAATAAGCTTTCCAGCCCCTTAAAAAAAGTTTAATTTAACTGAGGTTTTCAAATCTAAGCTCTTATATGTACAAACATGCCCGGGTTCTTTTATTTATGCCATTGATTTCTTTTTATGTTTTTTTAGTTTTTTTCCTTCAAGCTTTATCCTTTAATTTTTTTTGTTAAGTATTTTTAAAAAAAAATGTTTTTAACAATCTTTTATTATTTTCTTTATAAAATATTATTTATTTTAGTGCATGGCTTGTTTTCTTTTTTTATTTTATTTTTTTATTTGATGTATTTTTAATTTCTTAAAATAAAAATAAAAAGCATTTACTTGTTTGTTTTTATTAAAAGTCTTTTTTTATTTAAGTTTAAAAAATACTTCATTTTGCTACCAAGATTTTAAGAAATTAGAATTATTTTTCATTTTAATCTCCCATATCATTCTTATTTTATTTCTTAAGATGATTTGTGTTTGATATTAAAAAAATTATGTGCACCTAGTAGGCATATAATTAAATAAAAAGTAATTTTAGAAAAAAAAATGTTAAATTCAATGGGATTTATGACCTGATTCGCGAGTTTGACATGTTAACTTTAATTATATTAATTTTTTTTATATATATCGAATATTTTTATTTTCTATTTTATTTTTCAACCTTTTTTTCTATAAAACAACATGTAAAATAAACCTATATATTCAAAAAAAAAAACAACATGTAAAATAAACCTATATATTCAATTTTTTTTTTGAAAAACAAATTCAACCTACAACAATAAAGCATCAATCAACTAGTCAATTAGCTTGTGTTTCATCGTTAATCAGACTAATTTTCTTAAAACCTCATACTGAGGTTTTTATTGAAAAAATTTCAACTTACAACAACAAAACATCAATCAAATTAGTCAATTAGCTCGTACTCCACCATTAATCAGACTGATTTTCTTAAAACCTTATAATTCTTTTTACCTAATTTGAGTTTCCAACTAAATCACAAGGGAGCTAACCCAAATTAAATTAATTGACTTCATAGGTTCAAATGCAATATTAATAATCAGTAAAAATATAACTTAACTTTTAAAAAAAATTCAAGATGATATTTAAAATTTTTTTGTAAAAATATAACTTAACTTTTAAAAAGAATTCAAGATGATATTTAAAAAAAATAATTATTAAAATAATGATAGATGGGCTCAATCTAAACCCCCAAACCACTTATATGATTAATTTCATTGAGTTTAAAAATATTTTTTTTATTTTTTTAATTATATTCAGTGTTTATTTCTCAAGCAATTTAATATTAAAGGATAAAATTAAGAAAAAAATATTTTAAAAAAAAAGAATCAACAACTAAAAAAACATATCCGGCTAGTTAGTGAACTCGTTAAACCTATAAACTAAGTAACATGAGCTAACACATCAAATCAATGAATCAAGTTATTAACTTTAGTGAGATTATAATTTGTTTTTAAAAAAACTTTTTTAATTTAATTATATAATAAAAAATTTGACAATAACAAAATTAAACACCAACTTTATACTACTATGCAAAACTGCATGTTAAAGATATTATAGTAAATAAATATTTTTTATTTTTATAAATAAATTTAATATAGATAAAATATTAAAAAAAAAACTACAAATGAATAATAACAATCTCTTAAAAAATTAAACAAATTCAATATAATTAAAAACTAATCACTATTTTAAAGAAGATAAATAAGCAAAAAAATAAAATATAAATTTAAAAATTATTTTAAAAAACATATAAAAAAATTATAAATAAAAAAAGTAAATAATGAGACTAGGCCTAACGCTTGGCCTAAGACTAAAGGGCTATGAGCGGGCCCACAATATTAGGCCTAATTATGTGAGTTTTTTTTTATAAAATAATAAAAGGAAAGAGATAATATGCCACTATGATGATTAGGAAATCAAGATGTTTAATTTTTATTTTTTAAAAATCAATTTTCAACTCCAAACGCTTAGAAACAACCATCATAACCTTGTTTAACCCATACTTAACCTCCAAAAACATATAAAAAAAAAAGATTCAAAATCAAGAATCCGCCTAGAATCCAATTTCTTATCTATATTATCCTATTTTTTAAGTATTTTCAAAGTAAAAAAAATATTTTATTCAAACTCTTCTCATCACATAAAATCATTTTAAAAAAATATATATAATGTTTTGATGGTTGAAATTGTTGAAACAATGTCTCTCTTTTTATGATAGATTTTAGCAATAGTCGTTTTCTTCTCTTATTAAGTGAAAGCTGAAAAACAATAAAATTAAAATTTTGTATTGAAATGAATATTTAGAAAATTTAAGTTATATTTTCACTGATCAATAAATTTAATAAATTTAAACGTGTTATTTATATTACCCGTGTATCACATTTCAATTAATTGTCTTTGAATTGAACTTTTACGATAACAAAAAAAAACATATAATTGGACTTTAAGTTAGACTTAATTATATAAAATAAAAGTTTAAATATCAAATTAAAATTTTTTATAGGTCCCACCATTGTAATATAAGTAAAATATAAGAGGAGGTTCTGGCCTAGCGGTGAGAGGGGCTTGTCTCCTTTCTCCGTATCTGGGTTCGAACCTCACCATGCACGCTTGTCACCCCTGCGGTGCCTTACCTGTTTACTGGGCTTGCAGGATGTTCAGTGGACTGTGGGGATTAGTCATGATGCGCGTAAGCTGGCCCGAACACTCCATGTAAATTTAAAAATAATAAAAATATAAGAGGATGATAAATGGTGCGGCTACAACACCATTGCTTTATAGATAGCGAGTCAATCCCTCTGTGGCGCAATGGGCGGGAATAAGTGGAAACTCTCATCTCAAGCTCATGTAATAAAAACAAATTAATTTATAATTGTCCGTACCACAAAAGCTGATAAAGTTGTTTTCATCGAGGGCCTCATTCTCTCTCGCACATGCAGATGCACATGCACATGCACTTCTGCTTCCTTTTCTTTTTAATTATTCGAAGAAAAAAAGAAAGAAAGTAAAGCTACAAAACAAGAAATAGAAGCCCCCGTTTTATCTGCTTAATGTTGTTGTTTAGTTGCTGTGTAGTATCTCGATATTTGTATCTTCTGACTGACATTACACAGATTTTTGCAGAGCTATATCATTTGATTTCTTTCTTTTTATTTATTAATCCTTGCAAATCTTAAATCTTGAACCATTTATAACTTTGGCTTGCGTTCCCATCTCATCTCTGGATTTTGTTTTCGTCTCCTGTTCAAGGTATTTGATCTCCATCTTTGTTCCCTTCCAGCTCTACTATAATTATATATTATTTTTTGTACCGTGATTTTGGTTTTTAAGTCTTTGGATTTTTCAAATGTGTTTTTTGGGTCTTGAGATTTGATGGGTCGGTTGGGATTGTTTGATCTGGGTGTTTTTTTTTCCTCCCTTTTTGGGTTAGTAGTTACTGTTTTATTGATACTGGTTCATGTTTTTGTTTTGGGAAGATTCAAATTGTCCTTGTCAGGTGGGTTGTTCCCATTTTGTGATTCAAGTACGGGGTCTTTGGTGATATCATTGTTATTTGTTCTTACCAATTCCTCTTTCTTAACTTCTCCATCCATGATTCTTGGTCAATTTTCTGTGTGTGCCATTGGAGTCCTTAGAGGCGTAATCTTTTGGTGTCGTTGATGGGGTTGTATGGTTATTGGGTGGATTCAAATCAAAGATGCTAAAATGAGAAGACAAGTCATCTTTTTGCTTGATGTTTGAGATTTGTAACAGAAGCTGTTCATTTCTGCTTTTCAAAGTGGTTTTTCCTGCACTTTTTATACTGCTATCCACAATTTGCAATAGAATGTGTCTTGTTTATCCAGTTTTTGCTGTCTGTAAATTTCCTGCAACTCATGTACTGACACAGACGCACATCTTTGGAAATTTGATGCGAAAGTATACATTTAAATGCAGATAAATACATCTGACGGCCATATTTTGCGATGGAGAAGAGGAAATGGTTGTGGAAGAGGAAGTCTTCTGAGAGGAGTTCTGGTGAAACTGACAGTTCGGGATCAATAACTTCACATTCTGAGAGATTCTCTGATGATCAGGTAGGTGGCTGAACAGCCCTCCTCCATTTATATTATTGATATGTTCTACATAAGTATCTAACTGCATCACCATTCTCCACATAAGGTCACAAACACCATTGTTCATACCTTGGTTCACAAGAGAGTTTTCCTTTGTTCTTAACGAATCATTTGACTCTCTCGCAACGTTTCAGTTTTCTTTGAAAGTCCATGAGGTTTTCAATCTATTTGCTGTTTCAATCAAATTTCAGTAGTAGGAGTGTCTAAACTGCTCCTATTTGAAGGTACATCACATCAGCTAACCCCTTGTCCTAGAGTATTTTTGAGGAAGAGAGATGAAATCTTGTTAGGACCCTCCTTCACATCACTAATTGGACTTATCTAATGAGCAGAAAACTCAAAATGTTGCTTCCTCTGTTTTCAAGTATCAAATCAAGGACTGTTGAATTTTTCACTTCAGTGCAAAATTGTTGTTGAGTTACTCAGCTATTCTCCATGAGTTGGCTTTTCTATTACCTCATATACTTCAAAACTTTCTTGTTTGCATTGTTGGTTTCACCCACTTTCTCATCACTGATGCAGGATCCCTCAAAGGCATCTAATACTGACAGTGCTCAATCACCTGAAGTGACATCAAAAACTGTAACTAGGGATGAAGATGTCAATGATAGCATTAAGAGTTTGACAGAGAAGTTATCAGCCGCTCATGTCAATGTTAGTGCAAAAGATGACTTAGTAAAGCAGCATGCGAAAGTTGCTGAAGAAGCTGTTGCAGGTATATTTAGACACTAATGTCTAGGATAGAATCTCTATTCTTTTAAGACTTCCCTTAACATTAAGGGTCCTGTACTAATTGCAAGATCTACGAAATATGTATGTTCCTTTTCAATTTAAAGGAGTTCTTACCACAATGCCATTCATATATAGGAGCTCATTTAAAGTCAAATTTCCCATTTTCAAACTTTTTGGAACCAGGCATGGCTACTCTTGCTTTATCATCTGCTGATGTGCTTCCTCGAAAAAATTATAGGCTGGGAAAAGGCTGAAAATGAAGTAATGGCTCTCAAGAAACAAATTGAAGTTGCAAATCAGAACAAATCTGCTTTGGAAGATCGGGTGAGCCACCTTGATGGGGCCCTTAAAGATTGTGTTAGGCAGCTGAGACAAGCAAGAGAAGAGCAGGAAGAAAAGCTTCATGAAGCTGTGGTGCAGAAAAGTCTCGAGTGGGAATCCATTAAATCTGAATTTGAAAACCAGTTTATGGAACTCAAGACGAAAGAAGCTGCTGCCAAGTCTGAATCTCATGCTCTGATTGTTGACGAACTCTGCCAGAAGCTTGAATATTTGGAGCAAGAGAATGCTACCCTGAAACTCGATCTCCTTTCCCAGTCAGAAGAGTTGGAGGCTAGAACAGTTGAAAGGGACTTGAGTACCCAAGCAGCTGAAACAGCCAGCAAACAATATCTGGAGAGCATAAAGAAGGTGGCCAGACTTGAAGCTGAGTGCCGGAGGCTAAAAGCCATGGCTTGTAAATCATCCTCTGTTAATGATCGCAGGACTTCTGCTGCATCCTCAGTTTATGTTGAGTCTTTCACTGACAGTCAATCAGACAATGGGGAGAAACTTAATGTTGTGGTGCTGGATGCTCGCAAAGTTAGTTGCTCAGGGCCATACAAGTCTGAACAAATTTGCTCAGACTCATGGGCATCTGCACTAATTTCAGAGCTTGATCAATTCAAGAATGAAAAATCTATTAATCGAAATCTCCCAGCCTCACCCATCGAAATTGATCTCATGGATGATTTTCTTGAAATGGAACGACTTGCTGCTTTGCCTGAGAATGAAGTTGGAATTGATAATTCTAGAGCAGAAGATTCTGCCAAACAATCAATTGATGCTGAAAGCTCGTTGAGAGCTGAGCGGGAATTCATTATAAAACGAAGCGCTGAATTGGAAGAGAAGTTACAGAAGATGGAAGAAGAAAAGTTTGTATTGGAAGAGAAATTAAGGAAGATAGAAGGGGAAACGTTTGTATTGGAAGAGAAGTTAGAAGAGATTAAAGCAGAGAGGGATGAATTGGAGATGGCTCTAACAGAAAGTCAGGACAAGAATGAAGCATCACAACTTCAGCTGAGGGAGGCCCAACAGAATTTGGTGGAGTTGCAAGAAGAGCTATCAATGGCAAATGAATCAAAGCAGCAAATTGAATATCGACTTGTTAGCATGGAAGTGGAGGCTCGGACCATGTTTGCAAAAGTTAACTCATTAGAAGGAGAGATTGAAAAGGAGAGGGTTTTGTCGACGGAAATTGCAGTCAAGTATCAGGAACTCGAGGAAAATCTCTCAAGAAAGAAACAGGAAGAAGAACTCCAGCAAACTGTAAGCTCAAGTGTTGAACAACAAACAGCAATATCACCTGCATTACGTGTTTATTTTTTCATCAACCTCTATTATGCAGTTATCAAAATTGCAGATATACTCTTTTTTTGTCCCCAAAACACTGATCGTAAGACTTGCCTGTAGCAGGACCTAGATGTCGCTGCCAAGAAACATGCTGAATGCCAGAAAACAATAGCTTCTCTAGGGAAGCAGCTGAAATCTCTAGCAACTCTAGAGGACTTCTTTATAGACACTGCAAGCATACCGGAGTTCTCTGCTGGAGGATCAGCAATTCCGAAGGTAATGGAGAACCTTGGAAGTGACACTCCAATGAAACGTTTTCACCTAAAAGAGATTCCAGTTCTATGAGAATTGCCAGTGAGTTCCGGTCCTTCAGTGAATAGAAAGGAAGAGAACTCACCCCCATCTGTATCTTCTTCAGCTTCATCTGCTGTGTCATTGAATCACGTCAGTTCCGAGAAGAATCGAAATGGTTTTGCACAATTTGAGCAAGGGTTTAGTAGTTGAAGTGAAAAAAAAGAAGAAGAAGCTGCATTGATGATTAGTTGCTTGTAAAATGGGGAATTGGTTTAATGTTGATTAAATGTTATTTAGGCTATAATTGGCATTGCATCCAATCATTTCTTTGAAATTTTTTTAGTTTTAATTTTTTTTTTTAGTTTTTAAATTGTTTTGATGTACTCTATTAAAATTAAATTTTAAAAAATAAAAAAAATATTATTTTAATGTATTTTTAATTAAAAAAATTCATAATACTTCAAAAACAAAACAGGCGGATTTCACATACATGAATGAGAGTCTCAGGATATTTCATCCAAGCGAAGTTTTAAATTTGGATTGCTTGGATTTTGAATCCATACAATAGAACGAAAATGCTCTTGTTATATAGCTTCAAGATTCAAGAATGGTAATTTGAATCCCTGGCATCAATTGCAGGATGGTTCCATTTCCTAAAGTCATTTTTGGGTTGGCAATAAAATTAGAGAGGAGAAATGAATGGCTAAAGAAACCTGGAGTGGTTTTGTTCCAGCAAGTGAGGAGGGTGTCTGCTCGTAAAGAAGCGGGGAGGTGGGGGTGGGAAAGAATACTGATACTCTCTAAAAGAGATAAAATGTATACCCACAGCCGGCTATGCAGGGTTCTATGGTGTAGTGGTTAGCACTCTGGACTTTGAATCCAGCGACCTGGGTTCGACTCCCGGTAGGACCTTTTCTTTTCCCAAATTCCTGCGTCGGCCACATTTTATATGTAGTTACAGAGAGAGTGGAAGAATACATCATTACATTTGAGATTTCTTTTGAAAGGACAACCTGTATCAACATTACCATGTGGTTTCGACAAATGGTGGAAAACAAATCACTTCCACTTGTGGTGGCGGTGCATAATTTTACAGTGAGCTAATAACAATCCAATGCACAGTCAATTCACACAAATTGAGAAAATTTCAAGGAGAAACCAGATACAACCCAGGCATTCCCTCTGCCCTCCATTCTGCCAGTCATTCACCATGGTGATTACTGTTTTCTGAGGATTTCTCTCTTTTGAAGGCATTAAACAGATCAATGCCGAGGCCAACATTGATTAAATTCATTCCGGCCATCCCAAACAGAGCAAGTGGCAACTCCACACCCTTTTCAAACTTGGGAGCATCAGCAACCAGCTTGATGGTGATGAGGATGTGAGTCAGGGATCTTGCAAAAATGAAAGTGAGCCAATTAAGAACCCATTCTATCCTCACAATTGTGCTCTTAGCATTGCGGATGCCAGCCATCCGCCGCACTTTCCTCACATGAAGAAAGATTGAATGCAGCTGTGTCATAAGAGAATTTCACTGTCAACACTATATAACAACACCCCGCATTGAGCTTGCTTGAAGGCTTAAAGGGTAAACAGTTACATTTAAACAAATACGAGTTCTCAGAATCATAAAGCAACATACCTCACAAACCAGAGTGAGAATAAGGTAGTTGATTGTGACATTTCGATACAGAGCTAGAGTAAAGCAAACGAGAAGTATCATGTGGTGAACCAGGATGGAGGGGATCAAACCACTGTATAATCGGTAAAACAGCATATCCAACTGATCATATGCAAAATAACCACATGAGAAGCACAAAGCAGCGTACGCCCACTCCCATGTACCTCCAACGAGTTGTGAATGCTCAAACATCCCATCGGAACCATTTTTTAAGCACTGATTTACCAAAATGGAAACCACTACACAGCAAGCAGACAAGGATCGGAATTAATAATGACAAGTAAGAAGGAAGGAAGCACATCACATGGAAGGAATGCAAGTATGCTACTGCAACATAAAGTTTACAAGCATCAAATTAGTTAAGCATCTGAAGCTTCATCGATTTGTAAAATCCAGATATACCTTTCTCCTGTTTTAAATATCTTTGTATCAGTCAGTAAGTCATAAGCTTTTCATCAAAAGAATCACCCCACTGAACAGCCTTTCAAACACACCCCGAAGATGATACTATCTATACTCCCAGTTTCTTTTTTCCCTCTGAATACCACACTTCCTATGTTTCTAACGGAAAATAGGCCATGTCGGCCGCACTTTTGCTTAAGCAAATAAATCAATGGCCATTCTCAATCTGTCCAAAAAAGAAAAATCAAGGTTTCTCCTTAGGACAATTGTTAGCAAAAGGTTCCCTAAAACTTGATGCCCCTGTTAACAACAAAAGCAACCGTGACCATGCTGATGCCCAGCCTGATTGTAATAATAATAGTGCGAACATTTCTATATTAGGAAACCCAACAAACCATTACAATACACGAAAATCGAGAAAACAAATGACTCCCTGTGAAGTTTCAGAAACACCAATTGAGAAGAGAAATTTTAAGAACCTGAAACGGAGATGATGGAGGAGTGGAGGAGAGAAACGGAGGTATTAACAAAGAGAGGGTCACGGGATACAAAAGATCGAATGACCCAATTGGCAATCTGGAAAAGGCAAGCTCCAGCAACAATCCAAAGTAGCTCCGTGCGCTTGTTGAAGAATATCTCGAACAAAACTGAGACGAACCACAGAATTAAAGTAGCTAAAAAGAAGGCGCCTACCTTGTTCTTTTCATTCTGATTCTGACTAGTCGTTCTTGCCATAATTTCAAGACACTCTCATAATTCGGTCTGTGTGGTGCAGACAGAGAGAGATAAAGGGAAAGACAAATATTTTCGGAGGTTAAATCTTTACACATGGCAGTGTGGAGTTCATTTATTCTTGTTCGTTGGGAAATGGGAAGGGAAAGGAGGGCACTGAAGATTGCTTATATGATCCGCTATCTCTTTGGACCCTCGAGGTTTTTTTTTTCCAAGTTAGTAAATTTGGAAAAATTATTATTATACATATAATAAAATGAAATAGTATTTTTACATGGAAAAGGTATAATTATAAATTTTATTATTTATTTTAAAAATATTTTGTGTAATGAAGGTAAAATTATAATTTTTTATTTTTTTAGAAAAGAAGTTCTCTTTATATTTTTTTCTCTTTATACTTGGTATTTAATTATTTTACATTTGACCTATTTATCACCATTTTTTTTTATCTTTATTATTTTGTAATATTTTTTTAGTTTTTTTTACACTTTGTTTTTGAAAAAAATATTATTTTTTCTTTTTTTTGGAATATTTATCACTTTACACTTGGTTTATTTATACATTTCTTTTTGTTCTTATCTTTATTATTTTATAATTTGTTTTATAATTTTTTAATTTACAATTTTTTTTTTTAATATTGTACAAGGAATAAGAAAATAATGTTTCACTGTAACAATTACAACATTATTTCATTTTTTTGTCACATTAAAAATTAGATTGAGATCTTATATTTTTTTTATTAACACATATAATCTTTATTATATTTTATTATAAGTAAGCATCAACTTTTAAATTTATGGTTTTATTTTTTATTCAATGTCAAAAGACATACTAATAACATCTACAAGTTAATTATTTTATGTTAAAAAAATAATTATTCGGCCCGTAGTAAGGTAAGTTGAATAAATGTGTTCACATTTTGTTTTTGGTATTTATTAAAATAGATGATTTTCAATATATTTAATTAAAAACATACATAGAGTTTTTTTAATTTATAACTAGCATAAAAAAAACATATTTGAAAATCTTGTATATTTATTTTTTGCCTAAAAAAACTATTAGACCAATGCAATAAAAGTCTTATTATCTTTCTTTGATATATATAAATTCATCTTATTAAGATATTTTCAATAATATTAAAGGTGTCGTTATCAAAACTTTAATATCTTATTCTTTCTCTCATTTTTCTTTTTCTTTTCTTTTTCTTTCTTGGTTTATTGTGCCAACGCATTTCCTTTTCTTTTTCTTTACCTACTTCATTTGATCCCTCAATTTTATTATTTAGTTAACTTTAGTTCCACTATTATGGAAGTAAACATTTTTTTCTTAAAAATAATGGAATAATCTACTAAAAAATAAAAAAATATTTATTTTCCCCTTCTTAAATAAAAATAAGTTTTTTTTAAAAAAAACAATGGATAATACGATAGTAATAAAAATAATAAAAATTAAGGTTAAAAAAATAAAAATTGAGGGCCAAATGTATTTGAAGTAGAGAAGAATGAAAAAGAAATAGTTAAATCTTAACAAAAGAATTTTTGATGTGGAACACTTATGCAGTATCTGCATAGCTCAAGTTGCGTGGATAAGACTTATACTACTATTTTAATCGTGTTAGTTTGGATTCAAAATTTTTTTTTACTATGTTATTATTGAAAAAAACTTGACTCGACCCCATCCCTAAATAAAATCCTTTATAAGTTTGGACTAACAAAAATCAGTGTTCTTAAATATGATCTCTAACCAAAAAAATATTGTTGCATATGAGATTTATTTTTTTCAAATCATAGGCATTAAAGACCTTTCAATTATGTAGTAAGGGCAAGACAATTTACTATTATACAATTGTCATTTTTAAATTATACAAAAATAAATTGGTCTTTTTTTGTTTTTTGACATAGTAAAATTATTTAGTTATCTTTAAAAAAATAAACTTTTATTGAGCTTTTTAGTCTTTTTATTTTTTTAGTATAGTAAAATGAATTAATTACTTTTAAATCCAAAATTTATTCAATTATCTTGTAGGATTTTTTCCTTTCATTATGAGTTTTTTGGTTAATATCAAGGTGACATAAAGGGTATTTTTGTATTCTAATAAATTTTAAATATGTAAAAAGAAACTGACATGTGTAATGCACATATCAATAAGTGGGTGACCCTAATGCCCTTCTAACCTTGTATACAAAGTCACCCAATGACCAATGCTATATTTAATGGTAATGTTTGAATAATCTCGATGTCCTTTTATATATGTGGCAATAATTGTGGTTAACGAGCCTCTAGTTTGATGCTAACAATATTTTTTTTATTATTTTTTTCTTTCCTCAATTTTTGCATATGCACCTTAAAAATTTCAAATTAACTCTTTAATTTATTTTTTATTTAGATTTAGTTTTTATCATTTTTATTACTATTTATTTTATTTGGAATAATGTATAAAATTTGAATTCTTTTTTCATCCTTTTTTAATGTTTTTTCATTTTTCAAATTCGGTCACCATTCTTTTTATTAATATTTGTTTTTATTTGAGATAATGTTTTAAATTGATTTTATTTTTTTTGCAATTTCATCTTTTTCAAGTTTTATTTCCTATGAAATTTAATCTCTATTCTTTTTATTGATATTTATTTATAATTTCATCATTTAATTCTAAATTGGTTGGAAACTAAGATTCTTGATTAAGCTCGAGTCTATGATTTAACAGGTTGTGAATTTTAGAGATTAACCTGAGTTTGCTTGGTTCCTTCCCCTCTTTATTTGAGCTCATATTTTTTTAGTTTAATCCTTAAAAAATTATACAATGAGAGATTATAAACTTTTATTTTTATTTATTTTATTTTTATTAAATTTTTCACTAGTTTTGAAAATGACTTGAATTATCCCGAGTTTTTTTATTTACTATTATCTGTTGAATTCTTTTCAACTATTTTTTCCCCTTTCTTTGAAGTCATTTTTTTTTTAATTTTCATTCTTCAACAGTTATTTAATTCAAGATTAAGAGTTCTTATTTTTTTAAAATCTTTTTTATATATCTAATATTTTTTATGTTTTGTTATTCAATGTTAGTGATACAACTAAAAGATTGATGTTTTTTTCCAAGTGCAGGATGTCGAAGTAATAAATAATCTGGTAAGACCGGGGTTGAACAACAAGTAGGTTAATTGTATAAATTATAAATAACAACAATAACAACAACAATAGTAATAATAGTGATAGTAATAGTAATAATAATATAATAGTAGTAGTAATAATAATAAAAGAAAAAGAAAAAGAAAAAGTTGATAATAACTTTGAAATGGAAGATCAATGTAAGGATCAAATAATGATAACAATAAATATCAAGGTTAGAGGATCCACTAATGGTATTTTAAACAAGTACAACATAAACTCTTATTACTCAAATGGAAACCACACACAAAGGAGGTTCCAATCAAATTATAAATTGTTAACATGATTACATTAGTTATCTTATTTGAATAGTGCTAATACTTGTAAATGTTGTCAGATATTCATAATTATAACTTATGTTAACAACAAATGAAGTTCCTTTCATAGCAAGATGTAGGTTATACCATACGGTTGGGCTATAAAAGTGCCAAGTATTTGTTATACCAAGTGTTATACAGCATAAATTTAGATTAATCATTTAACAAGCAAAGTATTAAAAGTGAATAAGATAATAAATACAAAACATGTTAGTATCAAACATTAAGGTCCATATTGAGTATATACCATACTTATTCTTATACCATTAGTGTAACTTTTTCACCTTGATATAATAAACTTAGCTAAATATAATGAAAAAAAGAAATGTAAATAAATAAGATAAGAATATAAATAAGAGAAAAGTTAACTAAGTAAAGAAAAGGAAATAAAAGGTATAAATAAGATATTAATGAAAGTAAAACTTAAGCATTACAAAAATATAAAGAGAGAAAGCAAGAGCATGATCTTGATGTGGAAACCAAGATGTCTAAATGCATGGCAAATACCTACTTTTATAGGCCAAAATTAGAAACTATTGATTTGATGACTAATTGATGAGTAGGTAGTCAACTCTTGACTTGGTAACAATCTTTATCTTCTCTTGTCTGCCCAAAATGTCATTAATAATGTTAGAATTTGAATTAGACCTCCACATGAAAGTTGTAGGAAATTGTCTCAACTTTTTAGGAAAAAAATTGGAGGTCATTTGAATTTCTAGAACGCTAGATATGGGCTAAAAATTAAACAGTGTCTAGACTGAACACTAAATAGTATCTAGGCTGCATAACAGATTCAAACTTCTTTGTTGTTGCTATAATTTGGACTTGAAAACGACCTTATTAAAACCAGACCTCCACATGAAAGTTGTAGGCCTATGTCTTACCTTTCCATCCATATAAAGTATATCTAAATACGAGATCTACAACTCCAGATATGACCTAATTTTAGCCTTCTCTTTGTCCTTTCAATTTCAGTATTTAAATTTATCAATCAATTCTTTTACCTATGTGATAGGTCTGCATTTAAGATGAACATTTATCATAAATTAAAGGTATCTTATATTATTAGATATGTTATTATGAACAATGTTCCAGTTTGGACTGCACCAGCATCTCTTTTCTAAGTTTGGCCATATCTTTGTCCTTTCAATTTCAGTACTTAAACTCATTAATCAATCCTTTTATTTATGTGATAGGCCTGTATTTAAGATGAATATTTACCATAAATTAAAAGTATCTTATATTATTAGATATGTTATTATAAAACATACTTTAGTTAAGGAGTTAATGATACTTCAAATGTAAAATGATGATATAAAACCTTAATAAAAATTCACTTTTAAGTACTAATCACACCCTCCAACCAGCTTATTACTAGTTCTTAGTAATCAAAGGGTTAAAATAAAAAAACAATTTGCGAATTCCACAAAGTAAAGCATTCATCATTCAAATTTCATTAATCTGTCCAGATAAACAAACTCTCATTAAATTTATATATATGTTCAATACCTCTTAAACAAGATATTAATAAGCCTCCTTTTTATGCTTAATAAATCAACAAATAATTATGGAGCTTTTCTTGGAAGAAAACAAAATTTTTGTTTTAATGTTTAAGGTTAACTTCTTTGGGTTGAGGTTATTATTATTTTTTAATATATATACATATAACTTAAAACACGATGCATCTTTAACCCATGTAATGAGCTTTCAACTAATGACTCCCAG